CCCATACAATGAAATATTATCTTTCTATATATATAGAAAGCTAATATGCTAAGTGTCCCTTCCACCATCTGACAGGTTTCTATGATGAGCACTGACCACTAGGGGGCAGATACTCAACGCAGAAGCTGCCGAGCTGCAATGACTTGTCAGCGATGGTTCTTGGGTGACACACCCCAAAACCAGAGAGGAGGGAGCCCGATTCCTCACGTGGCCGTGCAATTCCACCTTTGGCCATGGATCATGTTGTTGCTGGGGCACTGTTGGCCCTGGATCCAGTTTATTGCACACTTGCGTTTGAGTTCCATACCCTGTATGACAGCAACTTTGAAGAGTCCTCTCCAGGACTCTTTGGGAGATGTTGGAGAGCCAGTTTCAGCCCTATCCCTGCAGGCCAGACTGAGGAAGCCCACCTGCCTGAGGGACCCAGCTCACTCTGCAGATGCCAGGGAGGGGACCATGGGAGTTTGGCTCTAGGGCATGTTCAGCATGTCTAGCCCAGTGCTGCCGTGCCAGCCACCTTCTAATTAATTTCCTTTCAATGTGTATGAATTTGTGCACCATGTGACTAGTTTGCCAATAAAAGAGAACAAAGTATTATACATACTACTGCATAGATTAACCTTGAAAACATTATGTTAAGTGGAAGAAGTCAATGACAAAGAAAATATATAATACAGTCTATATAAAATGTATGACTGTATGATCCATATGAAAGGTCCTGAATAGGCAAAGAAGGTAGGTTATGTTTAGAGAGTAGAGGCAAAAGAGATGGGAAATAACTGCTGATGAATATGGAAATTTTTTGAGGGGTGATGTGATGAAAATGTGTGGAATTCAATTGGGTTGACAGTTGTACAGCTCTGTGAACATACTAAAATTAATTGAACTATACATTTTAAATGGGTGATGTTTCTGGTATTTGAATTATAGTTCTATACATCTAAAAATACAACAATAACGAAACCTGAGTGACAGGGCTAATTGTGTCATTGTGTCATGTAGATATCTAAAAGGAGATTGTGGCTATACTGCAATGACCAGTTAAAGGTGATATCTACATGCCACAATGACATAATTAGCTGAAATATTATAAAACCTATGTTTACAGATATACTTTCCAGGGAAACCATTCTATAGTTTTCATGACAATCACTATAATATCCCTCAAGTTTAAAAAGTATAGAAGCCTTTCACTTTA